AGAAGAAGAAGAAGAAGAAGAAGAAGAAGAAGAAGAAGAAGAAGAAGCGTGAGTCCATGAATTCAGGCTGTCTAGTGTCACCGAGAAAAAAAAAAAAAGTAAATGCTGACACCTTCAGGACAGTCCTTAAGGCTGTGGGAAAGAAGTCTAAAAACATGAGTTCAAGAATATATAATTTCTCAACTATGCAAAATATAAGGATATATTATATATAAATTAGGGCTTTCACAGATCTGAAAGGACAGGGGCAGCTACACTCTGAGCCAGCTTGTCAGGAAGACACTGAGGAAGATGTAAGAGATTTAGGGAATGATAATCTCAGGACAGGACCTCACCCAGCTAAATTTATTCTCTGTGCTTCAAAGGCAGACGGACATCTGAATTCATTTGCAATGTTAAGAAAAAGGGGAAAAAAACCCAGAAAGATGGCTCAGCAGTTAAGAGCACTGACTGCTCTTCCAGAGGTCCTGAGTTCAATTCCCAGTAACCACACGGCAGCTCACAACCATCTGTAATGGGATCCGATGCCCTCTTCTGGTGTGTCTGAAGACAACTAAAGTGTATACATATAAATAAAATAAATGAATCTTAAAAAAAAAAACTTCAAAAAGGAAAAAGAAAAAAGAACATACTTGCTGCCCTTTTCTAAGAATCAGAGGCTGGAATCAGGGGCTGGTGATCTGAGGAATGATGGGGGGGTGGACAAATGAATTGATACGTAAATAAAAGACTGGGCTTTGGCGAGGGTGGGGGTGGGGGAGGGGGCAGCCCAGAGAGGGAACTTGGAGAGCCAACACAGGTATTTAGAATTTTTTCTGGCTTTCAGATTTTGATCAGAAAACTCAAGATTTATGTTTAGAATTTTTTCTAACAGGATTTCTGACTTGATTGGGAAATCTAAGAATTTTTTTCTGACTTTGGTCAGAAAGCCCATGAACTATCCAGAGAGCTTTTAGAATTTTCTCTAGCAGAGAACTGTCTCAAGCAAAGATCTATCTAGACAGCCAACTGGAGCAGAACCCAGAGCTGTCATCTTGTACCCCACAATTGACTTCAAGTTGTTCTTTCGCCACTCCCAAACACCCCTTCCTCAGGACCCCCTTTCCAAGCCGAGGCTGGTGCTTGGCACCCACCGTGGGGTCGTTAGGGGAAGAGCAGTCAGCTGTCCTCGATGTCTCCACTCACCAAAGCTGAAGCGCTGGGGATGGCTCCAGACGCCTGGGACCCTCGCAGTGTCGGCTCGCACCTGAACCTTGTACACCACGCGGCTGCGCAGCTTGTCAAGTGTCACTTGGGTTTTCGTGGGTGGCACGAGCCACTCTGCTGGGGAAGGCAGCAGTGGGTTAGGGATCCCATCACGACCTGTGGTACGAGCCTGACACTCAGCGCAGCCCTGTAGAGCCCACACTCGCTGCGGGGTCGCTGTATCTTGTCTCAGGACACAGCAGCGGGACGTGCACCACATCCCGTCACAGCCCCACACCCCTCGCACCTGACTCCCACGTGCCGTCTTCAGCCGCGCAGCGCACGACGTATTGCATCAGGACCCCCGGGCAGGTGCTCAGCTGCGACGCCGTCCACTCCACGGACACCGAGTTCTCCGTGTAGTTCCTCACCGACACGTGGCGCGGAGTCCCGACCCTCGAGGCTGTACAACGCCCCAGTCAGCGGTGGGGCAGCCGAAGGGAAGGTCCCGCCTGCGGTGACGCCCCCCCATGACGCAGACCACACCCACCGCCACGCCTCCCCACGGTGGCCATGTCTACCACAGTAGCTGCCGGCCCCACCCACAGCCCTGGATCCGCCCAGCACCCTAACTCCACAAGCTTAGGGCTCTACGTATAGCCTTAGCCACACCTACCGGAGTGGCATCCATAGAGACAGCATCTGGCCAGCTCACATCCTTGGTTCCGCCCACAGCCACCCCAAGGTGACCAAGGGACACCAAGGGATCGATTCACTCACCGTTACCCCCAAAGTAGTAACTGGACAGGACTGTGGCCCACAGGATGGGATTCTTGGGGTTCTTGGAGGCCAAGACAGTGATGTGGTAACATTCCTCCTTGTCCAGGGTCGGCTCAGAACTCCAGCTGTGTGTCACTAGAAGGACCAGCGCAGAGGCCACTGATGGACTGTCACTGCTCACTGGCTCATTGGCTGTGCTGCCTTCTGGGACTGCCTAGAAAACTCCTACTCGTGCTTCAAAACCTTTCTACCTCTCCCCCTGGATCCCTCATCCAGCTACTCCAGCCTTATAGCATGCAGAGAAGTCTGTGTTCAGTTCCACAGGCTCAGCTGGGGTTCTCTAAGAACCCCAAAAGTGTGTCCATCAGGACTCCAGCCCAAACCCAGAGCAGGATGTCGTAAAACAAGACACCTCAGGCACCGTCCTGCTGCCTGGCTTTCTCCAGGCCTCATTAATTTGCCAACAGCAACTGTGAACTGCCACCTTCCGTGGTGCGGGGAATGTTTAAATCACCATAATATGTGAGAGTCATTATCTGCTGTGGTGTGACCTGCCCAGGGCAGGACTTGGCAACCCTGCAAAGGCTGCAGATGCAGGCCTCAGCATTCCGCTTCTGCCTGGGCCCACCCAATGCTGTGTGACTCTGAGTAAATGCAGATGACTCTCTGGGCTTCAGACACCCTGTCGGCACAGACCCTGAAGGTTGGAGTCCACCTTGTGTTATCACAGAGACGTTTATCTGACAATGTTACCCATCTTGGCAGGGCTCTCATCTTCCGGTGCAATCAGGGTACAATGCGTGTGGTTCCTGTCCTGGCCCCACGGCTGCCACTCAAGGCAGTAGGTGGTGCCTGGAGCCTGGGCTGCCCACTGCATGGATGTCACATTGCCTTCCACGCTGACATTCAAGGTTCTTGTCTCTAGAAGGAGACAGAGTGTCCCATGGGGACAAGGGGTCACCAGCATGTCAGTGATAATCACAGACACACAGACTCAGCTTCCCACTCTGAGGTCAACTCAGTATTTATTGAGCACCGACTGTATGTCAGGCTGATTGATACTGAACACTTTACAAGCTACAAAGTGGGACTCTGGCTTTTTGTTATTTATTTCTTTTTCAAGACAGGGTTTCTCTGTGTAGCCCTGGCTGTCCTGGAACTCACTCTGTAGACCAGGCTGGCCTCGAACTCAGAAATCCGCCTGCCTCTGCCTCCCGAGTGCTGGGATTAAAGGCGTGTGCCACTACCGCCTGGCGGAAACTGCATTTTTGATGCGACCTTAACTTAATCTCGGTCTTCCTTGAGTGAGGAGTGGACCAGGCCTCGCGCATGCTCAGTGCAGAGCGGACCCAGCCTCCCTCTTGCTCCCGCCCCAGCGACCCGGGCACCTGTGAGCTCTTGGGCGGCAAGGGGCCACTTCTGGAGGGTGCTGCGGCCAAAGCGAGTCTCGGCGAGCACGTCCAGGTCGTAGGCGGCCCCGGAGAGGTTCAGCGTCTTGCCCACGGGCACGGTCTTCGAGGTGTGAGCCTGGCACCTGCAGGACAGCATGCGCACCAGTACCAAGTGCTTCTTCACCCGCGCACCAGGCCTGTCCCGGCAGCCTTCCGGGACAGCCAGCTGTGGCGACTGCAGAGAGGACAAGGGCGTGGGGATCCAGGACAGACCTGCGCTGCAGGGACACTACCCTCCCTCTTCACAGGCATGCCCCTGCTCCCCATTAGCAGCACAGACAGGGTCTCTTGTAGCCCAGGTTGGCCAGGGATGACTTTAAACTCCTCATCTTTCTTTGTCTACCTGTGCTGGATGACAGGTGTGGGCCACCATGCCCAGCCATCTTTCAAAGTTAACCTCATAACCTCCCACCGCTGTCACCCCTAGCCCAGGCTAGCACAGTCACCTGCCCCTGCATGGTCAGACGCCTCCTTCCACCTTGGTTCAGGGGCTCCACCAAGAACTTAATCTTGGCCTGGGGGAGCAGATCTGTAAGGAGAACAGAGCTGGTCCCAGACCTGAAGGACACTCCTGACCCTGAAACCCGATGTCTAACCCCCCAGCCTGATGTCTAAACCCCCAGCCCGATGTCTAACCCTCTCAGCCTGATGTCTAACCCCCTCAGGCTGATGTCTAACCCCTTCAGCCTGATGTCTGAAATTTGCAGCCATATCTTTTATTATTGTCTTTTGAGACAGGGTCTGGCTATGAAGCCCAGGCTGACCTCAAAAACAGAATCCTCCTGCCTCAGCTTTCTCGGTGTTGGGTGGTTGGCATGCACCACCATGTGTGGCTTTGTTAACTCTTCCTAGTACTTGTAACCCAGGCCCCTCTCACCAGGTGGAACACACACAGGGATGCTCCAGTCACTCCAGGGACCTCCAGGGGCCCCTGAGGAGAGCCTCCTCCTCCTCCGTATCTGGATCTCCTGGGCCATGTTCTCAGAAGGGCAGAGGCAGGACTCTGGGAGACAGAGGACATGGACCACGGTGTCAGTGTGCTGGGGCTGCCCAGATGTAGACTCAGGTCACCCGACAGCACTTGTGAGCTCTGCCTGCCAGAGGCCTTTCCTGGCTGGAGCTCTGCCCCCACTCTTGACTGTGACCTTGGCTGTTGCCCCTTGTAGAATAGGAATAAACCCACACTGACCAACAAGGCAGGGCCACAGGCCCTGCATAGAGCAGGGGGACTTCATTAATGCTTACCAGAACTGCTACCATGAATGTCACCAAGCACACCGAAGCCAGAGTTAACCTGAGGTCCACAGTCACCCTAAAAGAGAAAGAGGTTGGGTACTGTGGCTCAGAAAGGAGCAGGTGGGAAGTTTTGCTTTTCCCACCTGGGTCTCATTGTGCAACTGAGTCCTGGAGCCTGAGGGCCTGCCTCCCTCCTCAGTGCCCCCTCAGAGCCTCCCTCCCTCCTCAGTGGCCCCCAGAGCCTCCCTCCCTCCTCACTGACCCCCCAGAGCCTCCCTCCTGCAACTCCCAAGGTGGATGCTGCCAGGTTAGGCTCCTCTGACTTCATTGCCTGTTTATCTGAGAGGAAAACTGAGGGAACCAGGGGACTCCAGTGGCTGAGGAGTGATTGGGTGAGGGAGGGTGAGAACGGATCTGAGTAAGAGGTGCCCTTCACACTGTGGGTGGGGAATGATTGGGCTAGCCCTCACACAGCAAGAGTATAGAAGCCCAGAGCCTGGACCACAGGGACCCAGCAGAGAAAGGCAGCCCAGAGTTTGTCAAAGAAGAAAGATGCTGACAAGACAAAGACATCCAGGGAAGGCTGTGTGTGCGCATTGGATCAAGCAACAGAGGTGAAAAGGACAGCTCTGAGGATGAAGATTCCAACTGAGGGTTATTGATGGTGCGATGGTGACCTTTGACCTATAAAACTCACCAAGGTCCAATTCGTTGTGGGCATCCGGCGCCTGAACTGTACCTCAGCACCAGCCTCATTGGACACATTCCAGTCCATTCGCAACTGCCCATGCGATCGTGACACTCTGATGTGTCCCAGGGGAGGGGTGATCTTGGCTGTTGGGGGAGGGGGGTCGACACACATCCCTGTGACTTGAGTACAAATGTCCAGGGAGTTTGTCCCGCTCCACCTATGGGCTGCCCTGACTAAGGCAGAAATTCTGTACCAGGGGTTAGGGACAGGGGATTTGTCTCCGTGGTTTTTGTTTGTTTCTCCAGACAAGGTGTCTTAGTAAGCTCCTGATTCTTCTATCCTCCCCACCCCACCCCCAGGGAGCATGACAGGCATGCACCCCCACGACTGACGTATGCCATGCCCAAGATGAAACCTTAGGGCTCCTTGTACGCTAGGCTCGTGTCTACGTACTGACTCGTATCCCTAATCTAATGATTTAAAAAAAGAGCTGTATCAAGGGGCTGAAGAGATGCTCAGAGGTTAGGCGCATGGGTCAGAGGACCCGGTTTCAGGTCTCACCAACCACGTGGCCGCTGTTCCAGAGGACCCAGCACCTTCTTTGGGCCTCTCTGGGCACCAGACATATTTGTAATGGCCAGACACACACAGGCAAAACATACATACCCATAAAATAAAAATAAATAAACCTTAAAGAATAAAATGCTGTGGGTGTGGCTCGGGGCAGAGTCCTTGCCCAGAATCACCCAGTCAGAGGGCTGGGGCGTGGCTCTGGGCAGAGTATGAAGCAGTCCTGAGTCTCATCCTTAGCAGGATCCATCCCTCTGAAACAACTGCTTTTGCTCAACGTTTCCCACTGAGAAGTGAACTTTCCTCTGCCGTGGTTAATTTCCTGCCTTGGTAGAAGGGTGGGCGCCCCCCCTTCACTAGCCTGCCCACATCCGTTCCTGAATCTTCCCACAATCCACATCCTCACGCACACTAAGGACAGAGCTCTGTCAAGACGCGATGAGTCATGAAAACACAGCTCCACAGAGGATCAGGCTGAAGCCAGAAAAAACCTAAGAGCCTAGTGGCAGGTGTCCTGTGTATGCTTTGTCACACAGTAATGTCCAGTGCCTCACCCTGGACCTGGGATGTTCTCAGGCTGGGAGCTGGGGGCATCTGTAGTAACAGAGGAGCAGGTAAAACGGACAACTCACTCCAGTTGTACAGGTACTGAGATATCTCCTGAGACTTCACAGTCCGGGTCCCAAGCCGAGACTCCACCCAGAATTTAACCTTGGACAGCGTAGGGATACCGTCCTGTTCCGAGAACTGCACAGTCCGGGACCAGCCTGAGGAAAAGTAGCAGCAGCACTCTTGCTTAAAGTTGGCATTCCTACGAACAAAGCTGCAGGGGGGAGAGGGTTAGCAATGAGGCCGAGGAGGTGGGGGTGGCTGGGTAGGGGGCGGGAGGAGAATCATACGTCAGTTTGAGAATGAAGTAAAGACTAGAAAACAAGTCAGCTGCTGTATATTCCCAGAATTTGGGAGGCAGAGGCTGGGGGATCTCTGTGAGTGTGACTTCGAGGACAGCCTGGGCTACATAGTTAGACCTTGCCTCAAAAGATGAGAGAGAGAAAGAGAGAAAGAGACAGAGAGAGAGAGAGACAGAGAGAGGGAGGGAGAGAGGGAGGGAGAGAGACAGAGAGACAGAGAGACAGAGAGACTAGAAAATGTGTTTTCTGTCTGTCCTCTGCAGTACCTGACATTCAGAGATGGGTGGGGACCATGCTCAGTGTGAGCTCACATGAGCTCACCCACAGACCTTGGCTGTGAGGGATTTCGGGGACAAGTGAGGCTGTGGGAATGGGTCCTCACCAGCACCACAGGAAGTGAGCAACACTGTCCTCAGGACCATCGTACTGCCAGGAGCACTCATAGTCGGCCCCGGAAACCCTGTAGCAGCTCAAGTTCCTGGGTCCTAAGGAGGAGCCTGTGGGAGAGTGTGGAGGTCTGAGAAGTGGGGCTCCACGGCGTACCCACCCCTGTGCCCCCACTCCTGTGCCTCCATGCCCTTCCCCCAAGCCTGCCTTCCTCCCACTGCCAGCACCCTTTCTGGACCGCTCAGGTACAGGGCCAACTTCCACCTCAGCGTGTTTGCACCGGCCGGGCTGAATGAGGCCATGGCCCCCGAAGCAGGAAGATTTTCTGTTTTCAACACTGGGAACCCTCAGCTTCCTATCAGCTCTGGGAGCTGCGCCCAGTGCCCTGCAAGGTTTGCTTTGCTTCTGAGTTTCATATAGGACAGGCTGATTTTAACCTCATTAGCTAAGGATGACTGTGAGGCCCTGATGCCCCCCACCTCTATCCCCCTCCCCACCACAGTCTTCCAACAGTGAATTGGGGCCCTGTTTCTTGGAGTTCTTTTGTGATATTTGTTAATAAATAAAAATATTCCCCTTAGGGACTGAGTGCAAAAATGTAGCTGGCGATTGTCCCAAACATTGGCCCATCTAAATAACAGGTGCTTAAACCCTGCGACCAGGCTGCAGAGGAGGAGGGGCCGAGCCACTCGTGCTCATGAGTGCCTGAAAGGGACAGGTAGGGTCCAGATGTGCAGGGGCCTGGAAGGAGGGACACACGTGGGGTGACCTGAGGCTTCCTCTGAGTGTGACATCCTCTCCACACAGCAGCTGTCAGCTCGGCTGGAGGCTGAAAGACAGGAGTAAGTCCCGTGAGCCTGGGAGCGCACAGGAGCAAGCATCAGCCTACCCACCCCCATGTCTGTTTGCTATCAACACAGCTGCCTGCAGACCCACCCACCCCTCCCCTGCACCCCTTAACCCACCCAGTCCACCTACCCATCCATCGTCCCTCAGTCTGTCCTTTCTCAGCCATCATCCCTCTCCCTACCCTGGATTATAAGCTCCCCCAGGTGGCTCTGTGGGTCCCTCTATGACCGCCAAGGGCACAGGAAGAGGAGAGGGAAACCAGTGGAGAAGCATAGCCCAGCACATTCCCCCTAAAGCACCATGCTGGTGGGGAGGGTGCTGGGGGAGGGTAACAGCCCTGTGAGTGCATACTGCTAGCAGTCAGGGCTAGCAACAGTCCCCAGGAGATGAGCAGATTCTACTGTGGTGCTCCCGGCACCAGGTTCTCCCCAGAAGCCTGCATGAGAGTGTAGAACACCCCAGTCAAGGAGTTAGCCTAACTGGGAGCATATCAGGATTGTCAGGCAAAATTGGCTATTTGGATTCTGAGGTGAGGCTCTTCTCCCTTCCTCTGGTGACCCCAGCCCTGCAGCCTGAAGCCACGTGTCCCTCTCTGCCACCCCTGGGCTCTCAGATGGTAGCCCTCTGTAGGAATCTTGGGTCCTGGGCTCTCGCTGAGTCTCTTAGCACATGGTGTCCCCAAAGGCCTGTAGCCCCTTTGCTATGGCAGTCCTGACTGTCATCCCTGGAGCCAACAAGCAACAGATCTCGGGCCTACTGATGAATACAGAGGCACAGAGAGACATAGAATTTGCCCAGAGGCACACAGCAGCCATGACTGAGGTAGATCCACGGGGCCCTGGCACTTCTCAGCCTGGTCCATGTGGTGTTCTGAGAATCTGCCTGTGTGTATCCTGTGTCTGAGAGTTTATGGCGTGCTGTGTGCAGAACACATTGTCTTCCATGTGCCTTCCATCCCTTAAGCCTTTCTTGTTTAAGAAGAAGGGAGATGAGAATGGGTCAGACTCCTCTGAGAGGAAAATCAAAACCAGAGTTAAGTTAGATCCGTGGCCACAGGGATCCCATGTGACAAAGAGCGAGACACCCTCAGAGAGGCTGGGACCTGCAGCCTGCAGCCTGCCATGGACTCCTCCCTACCCAGGAGATGTGGGGGAAGTATCAGTGGGGACTCACCGCCTAGCTGGCAAAGCAGGAGGAAGGTGATGTGCTTGCTGGTCCTTGGCAGCCCCATCATGTCCATGAGGAACCGTGAGGCCCCAGGAACTTCTGCAGGGCTGAAGGGACCCAGCCACCTCGTCCACATGCAGAAACACACTGACACTGAGAGAGAAAGAAAGTGAAGGGGGGAAAGAAAAGAAAGAAAAACTCATTACCTCCTGGGGCCAGTCAAAGTGAAAGTGAAAGCCAGGAAGTCAGCCCAGAGGTGAGGGCCCCTCTGCACTACAAACCCACCTTGGGGTAAGTAAGCCTGGAAATCTTTTGGGGGAGGATTTTTTTTTTTTTTTTTTTTGGTTTTTTTCGAGACAGGGTTTCTCTGTGTAGCCCTAGCTGTCCTGGAACTCACTCTGTAGACCAGGCTGGCCTCGAACTCAGAAATCTGCCTGCCTCTGCCTCCCAAGTGCTGGGATCAAAGGCTTGGGCCACCACTGCCTGGCTAAGATTTTACTCTCATTTAGTGTGTGTGGTGGTTGCCTGCATGTATGTCTGTGCACCACATGTGTGCATGGTGGCTGCCAGAAGAGGGCGCCAGATCCCCTGGAACAGACAATTGTTACAGACAATTGTGAGCCACCATGTGGGCGCTGGGACCTTGGTCTCTGTAAGAGCCACTGATGCGCTAACTATTGAGCCTTCGCTACAACCCCATAAAAACATTTAGAAAATCGTTCAGCTATATTGTTCAAAGGCATTTATGTCTTTATTCTTAAGTTGTCTCATGTACCTCGGGCAGACTCCTGAACACCTGATCCTGCTGCCTGACCAAGGCAGGAGAATTGCTCAGAAGAGGACAGGAACCCTGGTCCTCCGAGCTGTCAGGCTCCAGCCCGCAAGCTCTGTTCCCTAGGGAGAGCAAACACTGCATGCAGTTTGAGTAGACTTTGCACATGGGTTTTCAGCCAGACTCCAGCCTGCGTGTCCCACAGAATTAGTCACTTTGTTGACATCTGTTTGGCGGGCAGGCGCTTTGGGAAACCAACTGGCACTTCCTTGTCCTTGAAAGCACACAGCTGCCATATGGCCCTGGGGCGTCCACTTGCAGGTATTCATCCAAGAAGATGGAAACATGCCAATAAAGACATAGTCCTCGTTCTGGGACAGTCATTGCAGCTACCCCAGGGTAGCTACAAAATGAAGTGGCCAATGGCTACCCATGGGTAAACCAGTAGGGGAATACTACTCATCCATTAAAAAGGAAGGCACACATGACAACCTAACAAGGTGGGTTTTTTTAAAACAAACAAACAAACAAACAAACAAAAAAACCGTGGAAGGGTCAGCTCAGTTAAATCTAAGGAGAAAGAGTGGGGCTGCCACGGGCCGGGGCACAAGAGAGCTCGCTGGTGAGGATGGGGTTCTTTGGAGGGGGTGTATCTTAGGATTAGGTGGTGGTGACGAGTGTATTAAAACCCCTTATTTGTCTTGAGACAAGGTCTCATATAGCTCAGGCTTGCCTGCAAATCTCTATGTAGCCGAGGATGACCTAAGGAGATCGGCTCCGCCTCCTCTCGTGCTGGGATGTAAGCACTAGCACGGCCGGCTCCACTCCACACAGCTTTTTAAAATCCGTATAGTTGGGTTGGAAAGAGGTCTCAGTGGTAGTGGGTGACTAAGTGCTTTGCCTAGCAACGCAGAAACCACGACGTAGAGCTGCCAGCACACTGGCCAGGCATGCATGGAGCCCTGCACTAGTTCGAGCCCAGCATCAGGTAAAATCAGTCGTGGCGGCACTTGTCACTCCAGCACTTGAGGTGGGAGCAGGAAGATCAGAAGTTCAGAGTCATATCCAGCTGGATCATGGGGCTACATGAGACACGGTCCAAAAGAATTCTAAAAATTAGTAAAATATTTTTAAAACCCAACTTTTCCTTAAAGATAGAGTTGGGCAATTTCTTCAGTTTTGTATCCAGGTGAGCGTCGCGACCGTCTTGCTGTGTGTGACCTCAAGCTCGCTCAGAACCTCTTGGTACCTCCGCTGGCAGCGTTGCGAAAAGCTCCGGGCCGGAGGGGCGGGACGGGCCGGGCGTCAGCTGACCGATAGGACCAATGGTGTTTGGGGGCGGGGCCTGTGGACTGGGGCGGGACTGTAGGCGGGGCCGGCCGCGGGGACACTCAGCGATGGACGAGCCGAGCCTCCTGCGGCGCCGCGGGCTCCAGGTGAGGCGGGGTGCGGGTGGGAGCGCGGACGGAGCCTTCCGGGCCGGGAAACTGAGGCAGGGAGTGAAGAAGGCGGGAAGCATCAGATCGTGCCCTCTGCCCATCTGCTGTCCAGAACGGTTTGCGCACGATGGGAAGGGAGGTGATCTCTATTAGATGGGGAAACTGGAAACGGAGGCTGGGCTCTGGCATGGGGAGAAGGAACTCGAGAGTTCCCGTATCACACCAGCCAGAGGGCGCGGAGCTCCACACAACCCCGCCGCCTGCCAGGGTCGCCTCTAGCAGCTAGTCCCCTGCCTCCGGTTCCTTCCAAAGATGAGCAAACCAAGGGTCTCGCCTAAGGAAGCTGTCCGGCTGAGATTCCATCTCTGCAGGAACACAGACCTGTGTGATCACGAAAGACCTGCAGGGTGTGTGATAGTGATGCCTTCTCCGAGCCTCAGTTTCTCGATTTAGCGTTGCGCCTCCGAGAAGTAAGAAAGTGGGTGTAGGGAGATCAAAATGCAAGTCCAGGGCACTCCCGGGTTGTGGGATTCTGGAGACGAAGCCTCTGGCTTCTCTGGATCTCAGTTTCTCTATCGTAACACCTGAAGAACTCATAGAGGTGTTTGCCTGCTTCGTTCCAAGACTGGGACCGCACACCTAAGCTCCCAACAGCTTTGCCGCGGGGATCCTCGTAGCTAACATCTGCCCTGCATCTACAGTGTGCAAAACCTCAACTGGCTTAGAGCTGACCGCGCAGGGTGGCACCGGCCGCGGGAGGCGGACGCAGGGCGGAGGAATTTGGGGAAGTGAAGATTAAGTAAAGCTGTTTAGACAGGGGCAGTGGGGCGAGTCCCCCCCTCCCCGAAGAAGCCGCCGAGCGGAGACCCTGGCGGGAAGGCGGGAGTGGGGGCGGGGCTGGTGCGCGGCGGGTGTCGCCGGGGGCCCCAGTTAGATGCGAGCCCGCCCTCGGCCTCTTAAAATAGAGACACCGCCTCCGGGTGAGTGAATGGGGGCGCGGCTGACGTCAACAAGCGCGACCTGTTCCACATGGGTGGTAAATATTTTCAGATGACAGATCCCACGTTACACGCGGGGAAACTGAGTCCCGAAGTATAGCGGTTCTCAGGGTCAGACGGCCATAGGTCGGCTGCCGGGAGTGGAGGATGGGAGGAGCGGGCTCAGCAAGTGCAAAGGTCCGGAGGCCACGGCTGGGTGTTGTTTGTAAGGGGAACTAAAGCCTTAAACCAGCCGTGGAAGCTCAGCACTTGGGCGGCAGAGGCAGCAGGGTCTGGGAGTTCAAAGTCAGTATAGGCTCTGCAAGACTCGTCTTGAAAAATCCAAATAACAAAAACATCCAGAAAAAAAAAAAAACATTTTTCAGTTGGAGCTGGTTGCGAAAGATAATGGTGAAGTTTTGAAGAAGCGAAATTTTGGGAGCTGGCGAGAAGGCTCTAAGGGTAAAGGCGTTTGCAACCAAGTCTCACAACCTGAGTTTAATTACTCTCCAGAATCAACATGGTGGAGGGAGAGAGTTGATTTCCACAATTTGTCCTCTGAGATGCACACATGCGCTGAGGCACGTGGGCACACACATATAGTAAATAGACACACAAGTAAATAAAAAAAAGAAAAAAGAAAGACGGGTGGTGATGGCGCATGCTTTTAATCCCAGCACTCAAAGGCAGAGGCAAGTGGATCTCTTGAGGTCGAGGCCAGCCTGATCTTCAGAATGAGTTCCAGGACAGTCTTGTAGAGAAACCCTGTCTCCTGGGGGGGGGGGGGAAGAAAAGAAAACAAAGAAGGGAAAACATAAACCTAAACTTCGATGCAAGGTAATCGGAAATCCGGAGGGAAGACCTGGAAACAGGAGACAAGAAGGCTTAGAGGCCACTGGAATATAGACCAGAATAGGATAACGTTAAAGCCCTCTTCTAGAGCCGGCCTGGTCCTTGTCTATAACTGCAAGTTCCAGCCTGGGCTACATACACAGCTCTGTGCTAGCTTGGACTGCAAGGTGGTGCCCTCTGTAATTAAACATAAGAAAACAAGCTGGGCACTAGCAGAAGTTCACACCATTTGCTGCCCTTAAAACCTAGTCAAGGCCGGGCGGTGGTGGCGCACGCCTTTAATCCCAGCACTCGGGAGGCAGAGGCAGGCGGATTTCTGAGTTCGAGGCCAGCCTGGTCTACAGAGTGAGTTCCAGGACAGCCCGGGCTATACAGAGAAACCCTGTCTCGAAAAACCAAAAAAAAAAAAAAAAACCTAGTCAAAGCCATGCTTTTTGAGCTATCTCTGACTCATTTAACAGGTTAAGAGCCTCAGCCAATCAAAGACCAGGCTACCTGTGCCAGCCAGTCGGAGTCCTTGGAGGCTGATCCTGGAGGTGTAGGCTCTGCTCCTAAGTGCTGGAGGCAGCACCTCTGGTAGCCAAGATTGGCCTCGAACTCCTAATTTTCTTCTCTCCTCCTCCTGAGCAACATCAGGATGGCCTACTGGCTGAGGGGATGCGGCCCCAGGGTGTGTGTGCTGGGCGGACAGCTGATGCCAACTTGAGCTCAAGCTCAATGTGTAGGCCAGGCTCGCCCACTTCAGCCTCCAGGGTAGCTGGAAGGCAGGCAGTGTTCTCCCATGCTGTAGAATGGTGCATTTGAGAATGAGTGCCCCCCCCCCAGATCTATTTAGCCACCTCCTCCAGGAAGCCCTTGAGCTGGGATTTTTGCTAATGGTGATGGTGCATACCTATTATCACAGTAGTTGGGAAGCTGAGGCAGGAGGATTGCTTCAAGTTCGGTGGGCTAGTGGGGCTGCAGAGTGAGGTTGTGCTTAAAAAACAAAAGCCCCACTATTCAGATAAGCCCTGAGGGTGGAATCTGGGTTCCCGGTGGAGCCCAAGCGGCTCACAGCACAGGCG